TCTTTGCCCATGGGCACCCAAATATTTATCTTAATATACAATTTTTTTTAAAGATTGGTCAACACTAACTAAACTTGAATATGCAAGTGTAACGAAGTCATATACTACTAATGGCTTAATCATTTGTTTTCTTTCTCAGAGATGAAATAGTTTGTAATTGTAGAACTTATGAATTTTGGCCCATATTTCATATTTTGTGAATGATTGTAACTTGTAGTATTGATTATTTTGGTTTCTGCTATGGTTATGGATACCACGTACCTAATAGTAATTGACTAAGCTCGGTGGGGCCCACCATATACCAAGTCTTATATAAAATCATACATTGTATATAGAAGGAGTTCCAGATAAGTAAGGACAAATAAAGTTATATATGGAAATAACACGGACCACTCGGATTGTATCCATATTGATCACCCTAGTTCTACTTGGACATGGGGACATCTATGGGTATAAATACAAGACCCTAAGAGAAGAGGAGAGACATAAAAGATCGAAACACCAGCACACACTGCGAAACATCGACATCAGAGATAAGCCTAGATAGACCCAATATGGTGCCTGGAGAGGCTGACAAGAGGGATCTAGTGCTATCTCTGATCTCGATGAGTTCATACTCAAGGAGGAAGACTACCTTGTCGTTGACTACGTGTAGGTTATCTATACCGCCAAGTAGACAACAGATAGATAAGTTATCATAAATATTATACTTGTGTGATTATGAAGAATAAGAGCAACACCGGCTTCGGCCAATAGGAGTAGTGCTATTACCTGTCAGATAAGGGGCCCGAACCTGTATAAAAATCCTTGTCTCCATCTTTTTTACCTCAATCTCGTATATACCCTAGTACCAACGATCTCCATATCATCAAAATACCGTAATCATGACCTCAAATGTCAACAATTTCATATTTATTGGCTAAATATAAATGTTTTTTTTTCGAGGAACCGACGGCAGGAGTTTCTCCTGCCGGAATTTATAGAAGAAGAGAATTGGCGCAGTTAATAAGGGAAATCGGGCCCAAAAACCGAACAAGCACGGTTAATTAAAAGGGAAACCGGCAAAAACCTATACAGAAAAGAAAAGGAAATCAACTATTGAGACCTCACAAAAGTCATCGTTGCCGAGCTTGCCAAAGGCAAGCAGCTTCGACAACATAATGCACGAGGTCTCTAGAACCACCAAACATCCTCTAGTGGAGCAGAAACCTTCTAAGCGAAGCCTTCAACAAGGGAACAACATCAAGAATGTTATCAACGCCCGTTCCAAAAGGAACCCGGTTTTCACCTGAAGGGAGAGAGAGCCATCATGACGATACCTCCAAGGAGGAAACGGCACCCACAGGCGTCGATATCATCAACCTAGAATAGCACTAGGCAAGGTTTTCACCCGAGACTCGCTCAAAATGCTCCACCTCCAAACCCTCGTCGCATTTCCTGGACGTCTATTGAGGGTCATCGTTGCCGAGCTTGCAAGACAAGAAGCTCCGACTCCGCCTCAACAGTCAATCACATTGCAACTCGACCAGAGACCACCTCACACATAGGAACCCAACTGCAGCAAACCTACGGTGCGGCCGACGACCAGCGAGACAGGACGCCGGAAACCAAACTCCGCACGCCACCCCTACCACACCAAGGAGCTCCTCGGCATCGACTTGAAACAGCCTAGCCTAAGAAGGGAGGAGCACCTAAAAAGAGGTTAGCGGGCGTCGCACCGCCGATGAGCACCGGAAGAAGAACAACTGAAGAGGAGAACCGGATCTAGAGGAACAGGAGGGAGGGAGATGGAGGCGCCGTCCCCGTCGCCGGCAGAACCGCAGTAGGTCGGGTGCCCCCGGCCAGGACCGCGGCAGCCGGCGCCGGAGCGCGCTCCACCGAGAGCCGGACTGGAGCCACCGCCGACTGGACATGGGCCGCCGCCGACCCGATGTAGTCGTCGCCGACGAGCCTGCGCCGGAGAAGCCCTTCACCGGCCACCTGCCTACGCCCGAGCGGCGCTGGCGTCGTCACCGACCGAGCCCGTCGCCGGTCACCCCGGCTAGATTAGGAAGCCGGGCGACCGGATCTGGCGACGCCGTCGCCCGTCGTCGAAGCCGTGGAGAGCCCCACCGCCGCGCCGCCGTCGCCATGGAGAGCCCCACTGCCGCGCCGTCCCTGTCGCCGCGACCTCACCGTCCCGCCGCCATCGTCACCACGCCCGCGCCGGGGCGAGATGAGCCGAGGAGGACGGCCCCGCCGCCGCCATCCCAGCACGTCGCCCGGCTTTGCCGGCGACGAGCTCCGGCGGCGGCGAAGCACGGAGGAGGCAGGAGGAGGGGCGGCGGCGGCTAGGGTTTCGCCCCCTAGCCGCCGCGCGAGGGCGACGCGAGGGCGCGGCTCCCCCCTTACACTTCCTTATATTTATCAATTGATATATTATATCATGTTATTGAAAACCTATGTGTACTCAATAATCAACGGATATGGGTATGGGTTTTATTTTACGTCTGATGAAAGTAGTTGCTATGGGTGGGCGAGGAGTTTTGGGTCTCGGGTCGGGCATGTTCTTGCTCTACCCGAACCTGACTTTACCCAATGCCATCCTTAGATTAGATAATGATGAGTTCTACGTTCCTATCGATAATATAGTACTGAAACAAGAGATATGGTAGATGTGCTTTGAAAATAGGGTATAAACATACCCTACCAAAAACTTTTTTTGAAACAACACGCACAAGACGGTGCGACATTTCATATTGATCGTGCAAGAAAAAGAAAGTAAGTCTACAGCTCTGGAGAAGAAAAAACAACACCCACATCATGCATCTATGACCAAAACCTCTACTGAAGAACAAACATAATATGACAATCTAAGGGAGAGGAACTTCTAAACGACACCTCTAAAAAGGATGCAGCACCGAGTACCACTGATGCCGCCCTGAGGAGCTAGGACGTGGTTTTCATCTGAACGACACTATCGGAGAGGATAGGAAATTTCACGCAAACAACGTCCCAAGGGAAAAGCAGTGCCCACAGGTTTCACGCAAACAACGTCCCAACGTGGCCATCTCGTGGGCTGTCAAGAGGACTGTCGTCTAGATCGGAGCCCAACATAGGCTTGCAACACCTACCTCATGGCTCCACCGCTTTCGCCACCTCAGGCCGTCCATCCTCATCGCTATCGCCTAACCCTGAATCCCCTACCACCATTGCATCACTGCCGGCCACCGGTTGCCACTCATCGGGCCACAACAACCCACTGCTGCTGCTAGTCACACCTCAGCTGTGTTCCAGGCACTGGCCACGCCTCTCAGCGTCGCGTGGCCTCCCACAGTCGTTGGCCACGCCTCTTCACAGCCTTTCCGTGCAGCTCGGGCCTCCCGCCTCCACTCTGCGTAGCACCGGCATGGCTTTGCTCCACTCCTAGTCTCGCCACCAATGGCTCGACAACACCCCAGCTAGATCCTGCCCATGTTGGTCGAGTCCCATCGTGTGGGGCCAGATCATGTGGCAGTGGCACCAAATTTGCGGCTGCCCTCGCAGGGGCATGTCAACATTGCATCAGCTACTCCGTCTCCCCCGCCTTGAGGCCGAGCTTCGCTAAGGTTATGGCTCCGCCACCACCTTCCTAACACGCTGCTTGGCTTTCCAGCAGCGTGCTCTGGCGACGACGTGGTAGACAGTAAGGAGGGAGGGGGGAGGGTGGCAGCTAGGGTTTCTCCCCGTGTCACCCGTGCGTGGGCAATGCGGGGAGGTTTGTTACTCTGGGGTGTTTTTTTTCCTATATGTGCATTATTACCCTAAAAATATGGGTTTTGAAAATAGTCCACAAACCTACAACTTTAAAAACATTGGCCCACAATATAATGTTGAGGCTTCGTAGGATATAATATCTAGATTAGGTCAAATGCCAAATTAACGGTTAGGTCTTTTAAGTTAAAGTGGGAGTTTTTTTGAAGTGTCCAATTAGCAGAGCTACAGATAGATGGAACATATTATATACACAAGGCTTATCTTATACACATCATGCACACCACCTAAAAATATCATAAAAATTATGTACTTTAGTAGTATTACATTTATGTAAAATCTCATCTTCAATTTTTGATATATATATGAAACAACAAAAATGATAAAATTCTAAAAAAAATTATACTCTCGACACTGTCAGAATTTTTTATTTTGTTACAGCTGAAATATAAAAAAAATTGAGGTTAAGACTTTACATATAAATACAATACTATTGGAAGTAATTGTAAAATTATTTTTATAATTTTTGATAAAATTTTTTAGTTGATGTTCACGTTATATACACCAGAATACTTATATGAATAGAATACGTTCCCTCCATAGATTGAGACAAATAGATAGATATGTACATCCTCAGACATTTAGCCGTGGAGTCCAGACAATATCGAGCTTCTTTGCCATACATGATGGTATTCTCTAGAGAAGTACTGAATTGTTTAGATCATGTTTTTTTATAAAAAAAAAAAAGTTCTGCCGAAAATAAAGTGATTCCCTGCAGGGTCAAAATTATTATAAGAGCAAGTTTAACGGTATAGCCAACTACTAGCTTTAAATCATCTATATAGTCAATCTAATAATTACCTAGAAACATATATCACACTATTAATACCTTGTCACACATATCATATATACGTTGATATTAATATATGTGCTGTAGCTGGCTACAAATCTGTATCTCGTTGTTCTTCTCTCTTCTCTCTTACTCCCTCCGTTTCACAATATAAGTCATTCTAGCATTTTCCATATTCATATTGATGTTAATGAATCTAGACATATATCTATGTAGATTCATTACCATCAATATGAATATAAGAAATGCTAAAATGACTTACATTGTGAAACGGAAGAAGTATCTTTTTAGAATATATTTATAGCTAATTTATAGTCTACTATATATATTGTACCTGCTGTAAGAATCCTGTACGTACAGCGTCTTAATTGTAGTTTGTATTGACGCGTTACATGAGTCACCGGTCTTCATGTCTGCATCGTTTCGTAGAAATTTATGGCACACTTCTCCATCTACGATATTATCGCCGGGAAGGAAAGGGAATAAGGGAAGCATCGGTTTTTGACTACCAACAGAAAAAGGAGGAATCATAAGACTTCTTTACCTTTTCAATATAATAAGGTATAGATCTAGTTATCGAAAAAGTTAACAAAACTCTAACTATATTGACATCAAACATCGATCCCACAAAAATTGAAGTCTAAAACTCGACCTACACAATGTGAAAATAAACATAGATACTGTGGTGAAGAGTACACGTATACCTTTCACGGTTTGGATTTGTACCTTTTGTTTCTTATTATTGTGCAGGACAATTTTAGACCGTAATTTTTCTACGATTAAGGTAGTAGATATATATATGTTGTACTAATGCTGGTCATCACATGTTTTTAGATGTAGTATATTTATGTATTTTATTTAAGAAAATGTGAAAACATTATGTCACTTCCCAAAAGAAAACCACGGCACAGAGGCCTGCAGTGCAGGGCACGGAAGCTTCCCTGGATCATCGGCCCCTCGTTGCGAAAAGCACACGGTCAATGTAAACTAAAAATTCCAATTGATTGCTCAGTCGTTGTAGAAAGCCGCCCTATATTCACAAATTAATATATATAGGAGTATACAAGACGATCGATGAGACGGCTTCAGTTCTTGTGCGTCGGAAGTTGTTCAGGAGGCCTTCAAGCAGAGAGGGGATTGCTAGCTTGGAGGCCAGCAATGTCGACAAGATCAGATTACTCTGTCTCAGCCTTGTTGCTGGTGATCCTGCTTGTTATTATGGCCAGCATCCTAGCTCCACGGCCGGCTGCTGCAACCCTGGAGCGACGGGGTTGTAAGTAATAGTGACTTCTTTTGCCTTTCGAATTTAAACATGTTGAATAGTGTTGGTTATATTGATTGTGGTTGAGTGACAGACTTAATATATATGCAAATAACAAGTGGGAGTTTCTTACTTAAAATTTATCTAACTTTTGATTTTAAGGATTTGTTAGTCACATGAATTGTAGCATGCCACACCTTAGCTCCAAAAGATCAGCATACGAAAAAGAGATTGTAATGCCAAATAGTTTTGGACCATCCTATACCCAATCTTTTCACTGTGGAGTAGGTAACTTTACCTTCGTTATATAATGGACCACCCTAATTCTATTCGCTAGTCATGTCTAGCTTCTCCTTCGACAATGATATGCATATATATATATATATATATATATATATATATATATATATATATATATATATATATATATATATATATATATATGAACATGTGGTTTGGGATGATCCATTGTACAACAAAGTTCAAGTTACCTAGGCCAAAGTAAAACTTTGGCAATAAAACATGGTCCAAAATAAAATTAACTCTTATTTTTTACTTATGTTATCATAATAAACTTCTGTAACAATGCGCGGGGTTTCACATAGTTATGTATATGCACATGTACGGTAGGAGTGGGAGGAGAGATCTTTTTGCAATAAATTCAATTGGCCCACCCTTTGTGTTATCTCTAGTAGATCTAATGGTTTAAAGTAATGGTCCACCTATTTTAAGTAAAAATATTTAAATATCGATGGTCGGATCGGATGTTTTCTTTTATCATAATTTCTATGATTTTTTCTAATTTAGTAGAGTACGTACCACGTAACGACTTAAAAAGCGATGGTAGGATGTCTACTACGTGGCGGTGTGGGAGCATTTGTATGTTGTTTAATGAATTTTTAGTATATAATAAAAATAGATTCATTTGGAAACCGGTGAAAATCCCAAAGGGAACCTTCATACTAGGTTTTCACTAAGCCATGACATAAATCCGTCGCCAAACGTTAATTTGTTGCAGATCATAGATGTCAAGAATATTATGAAATTTAGAGTTGTCCGTCCGCTAAATTATTAGTTCATATTTTTCAATCATGTTAACTAGCATATGTAACTTTTATATAAGAGAAAAAGAAAAGCTAACGTTTCGGTCACCTGTGCAGGTACCTACGACCCTCAAAACAATCCCGATTGCCCTCCTGTAAGATCCCGCGGGCAGTGTGACCAACCGCCATGCCCAAGCAACAATGACGCCCCAGCGGTGGAGCAACGAGCTACACACTTGCCGTAATTTGTTAATAGCATGGGGATATTATATAGAAGGGAAGCTCTGTTTTAATTTACATATGTTTATATGAGTTGCTCCCTCCAGCCATTTATATCATGTTTGGAGAGCTAAACTCAGATCTCAAACGTAAAATATATTTGACCAGAGGGATAAATTATATGTTGTTCGTGTATTCTGCTTTTATTCTGAAATGTCCCACCTATGATTATCTGCAGCACAAACATATATAATAAGTGTGTGTATAGTAATATATATATATATATAGGAGATGGGAAATTGTACACGAGCACATATACCCTAGATACTTGGTTGACGGTTTCGGACGACGCAGTAGTAATGCATGCACATGTATTATACATCATTTGGTCATATGGGAGACTGAGCAATGAGGGTACCTACCCATTCTAACTGGTTTGACGTTTCTACGCTCTTATATAGAACTCGGTTTGATCGAGATCATAAAGTCTGGGCGGATCGTTGTTTTTGACAGAGTGACCTTGTAAAAAAGATCACCGCTTTATAAGTTTGTATGTAATTCATTCTCTAGATTTATAGGTTGTTTTTCTCTTTGTACAGGTTGCATTTTTAATGGAAATTTGTTAGAACCGTAGATTGCCATCTATATATTTTGCAATATTTTTGGAATTACAAAAATTCTTAAATATTTTGGAACTTTTCATGGCGTTTGTCGGTCAAATGTTTACTATTATTTATGTAATTACGTAAATAACGTAAATACCTCCTCTCCGTTATGCTGGTATTTCTTCTTTACGTTATTTACGTGTTTTTTTTCACATTTATATTTTCTTTCTAAAAAAATGGTTGCCGGTAATCCTCCATTATTTTAAATCAATTCCAAATGCTATCATACTATGTAAACAATGAAAAAAAACTAAAAGGAACGTTGGGGCGAAAGTTGCGGACGCATCTTTATTATACCAAATTTTCAGCGCAACAAAAAAACCTCTACAGTGAAAACAAAAGAAAAGAAATTTTGTTAGGAGAGTAAAGTGAAAAGTTTTTTCAGGATCTAAAATAAGCCAGACATGAATCGTAGTGAATGCACCAATATCTTTTTTGACTGCTTTTGCCATCAATGTGTGTGGGCCCTACGGACATTTTCTTCGTCGTGGGTCTGCAGTGGTGTTTGCTCTCAGCAGCAAAGGACAATTCCGGGATTTGCTCACAGTCCCCATGCAATCGTACGTACATGTTACTTCCTGTTCTCCCTTTAAGCCTGACTGCCAATTGGGTAAGCACTCCCCACTCCTGCTTGGTGTGACGGTGCCCACGCGAATCTCCAAGGTAGTTGGACGGCAGGGATGGTGGGTACATATGTACCCGAGCTCAAATATGCATTTTCATTCACACACACATACATACATACATACATACATACATACATACATATATATAGACGCGCGCACGTGTGTATGTGTATATATCTAGGAGGGGAGGCCGAGGAACCACGTCACCACTGCCGCCGTGTCCACCCGCTACGCCGCTGCCTGTGGAGGGAGGGAGGGGGAGAGAGAGAGCTAAGAAGCCGGTGGAGGGAGGGAGTTGAGAAGATAAGTTTAGAGAAATGAGTGGTGGAAGGGGTTGGAGGAGTAGATAAGTGTTAAAGTTTTTTTGGTAGGTACGATTTTTGTAGGCGGACCATATAAGGTGCAGGCGCCGTTTAGATGGTCCGCTTACGAAAATCATTTTCGTAGGCGCCGCTTAAGTGGTCCATGAACTTCATCCCGATTTATATTTTTATAGGTGGTCATTTGACTCCAAGGATCCTGTCCGCCTAAAAAAAAGACCTCCATGTTAGGAAAAATGTTTTTTTTCTAAGTAGTGCTTCCGATAAGCGATTGCAATTGCAAATGAGTATAAATACGAAGAGGCTGGTTATGGTATGCCGGTGTGTGATCATAGGTTTAGGACGCACCAGGAACTTGCAAGACACCATGCATGTCTAAAGAACCTGCAATTAGGATATATATAGGAATTAGAGTAACCAAGGTCGTCATGCCCGTTAATCATGCATCGACAGTAGAGAAGTTATTGCACAGCATTGGCGTTTGAGTTAGCTATTGGCTACGTGTGTGGAGTGCCTAGCTAGAGTACATTTCTGTCTGGTGATGATCGATCCATTTGCTGGTCACTCATCAAGAACTAATTATTAGTATATATCCTTATCATAAAATCGAATCCCCGTTGCATTCCTTGGTGCTAATTATGGAACAGAGCATCCTCTGTTTGTCCCGGGCGCGTGTATTACATTACACACATTACATGACTGATGATGAATTGCAAACACAGTAAAAAGTACGGTGTAGAACAGCAAACTGATGATGTAACTATAAACACATAAAAAAGGGACATCGAAGATTGCGACCAAATAATAAAGAGCAAATCAACTTGTTTCACAACAAAATGAGCTGTACTATAGGTAGATGACATGAGTTTGACTTCAATCTGAAGTGGCCCTGATTGAAGGGGAGGCAATGATCTACCTGGTTTGGTAGTGTGTAGCTTGCATTTGATGCAGTATCAGTAACGAGCAACTACGTTCGTAATTTCTTCTTTTCTTTTTCGTTTTCGTCTCACTCTTATTTTTTTTTCCTTTCTTCTGCTTGGGTCATAGAGAAATGAGAAGAAAAGAAAAAAGAGAAGGAGAAGAAAAGAAGAAAAAAAGAAACAGAAAAATTTTTAAATGGATCTTATTTGTGAATTAAAATGATGTCACGTTATATCCATGTGGCATACCACATCAGTGCCACGTATAGGATCTTGAAGGGCTATGACGATTTGAAACATATATGACATACTATGACAAGTTATGGGATTTAGATATGTATTTTTAGAGTTTAGAGGACTTAGACGACACATCCCAATAAGTTTAAGAACAGTCCATGCACTTTACTCTTTCATAACGGACAACGACTCATGCATCTCTCTCTTTGGACAGAAATGTTGACATATAGGTAGTTGTTGCGAGCGAACTAGTTGGTCTATCCTTTCCTAATTAACCTTACTGGTCTTAGCCTAAATTAACCCACAAAACTCACATGAAAGCTGCAGTGAATTTATCACTTGATTTAATACCTCGAACAATTACCTCAAACAATTCTCCCAAATGCGAAAATAAATCTGAAAATAAACAATATCACTTACCTCTTTTTAGTGATTTGTGCTCCAACCTCATGTTATTTGATTTCTAAGAGAATTCCAAGTAACATCTCCTTTTCTCTTGCTCAATCTAAGGCTGCGTTCGGGAACCCTCACTCCCCGGTACAGAAAACAGAGCAGCAATTAGCACATGATTAATTAAGTATTTGCTATTTTTTCGCAAATGAATTAATATGATTTTTTAAAGCAATTTTTGTATAGAAACTTTTTAAAAAAACATACCGTTTAGTAGTTTGAAAAGCGTGCACGCGGAAAACGAGGAGGAGAAGTTGAGAACATGTGGTACCAAACGGAGCCTACATAATCTCAAAATTCCTATAGTCTTCCTACTCACTTCGTTTCATATTATAAGTCATTTGAATTTTTTCTTAGTCAAGTTTCTATAAATTTAACTAAGTTTATTGTAACATCCTGATTTTCGTTGCCGTTAAAAGTTATTTTAAATACAAAATTTATTTTCAAAATTTTGTTTCATATTTGAATTTTAGGTTTCGCCATTAGAGATCTCAAATATTTCATCCAAAGTCCACCTATATATTCCTAGGATTATTAAAATCCACCGTCCCTTTTACAGTCCATTTACAATTCCAACAAATACTCTCCAAAATTCAAACTCTGAAATTCCTAAAATGATGAAATATTACTATTCCTGTGGGCCCTAGAATCTGTCCTTTCCTCTCTCCATCTCAGCCCAGCACCAAGGCCAGCCCATCTCCCTCCTTCATTCTCGGCGGACCTAGGACGGCCCAAACCAGCCCAATCACCCCCTCCTTTCTCCTCCCAAGCATCCAACACACGCGCCCGCCACCTGCTCGACGAAATGTTGAACCGGGCGAGCAGCGTGCCAAACCGTGCCGCACCGCGTCGCGCTACACCGTGACTATAGATGGCCAAAAGGCCCGAAGCCCGACGGCCCGGCCCATGGCACGGTATTTTGGCCCAGCCCAAGCACAGCACGTTCGGGCCCGTGCCCGCCCGGCCTGACCACTAGGCCGTGCCGGCCCGGCACGATCGGCCGGCAGCTAGGGGAGTAAAAATAGACATATTATATGCCATGGACGAAAGAATAGGGACCTAAATAGACTTTTTTTTATCTATACATATGTCAGCCAAAGAGGAGGGACAGAAAATAGACTTATTTTAGCTATACATATGTCAGCCCAAAGAGGAGGGGCGAAAATAGACTTATTTTAGCTATACATATGAAATAGCCCAAAGAGGAGGGATGAAAAATATACTTATTTTAAAAAAGACCCGATGGGCCACCCATACCTTCGGGCTGGCACAGCACGGCCCGACAGCTGGTGGGCCGTGCCTGGGCGGGAGGTGCAGCCCATGGGCCGGCACGGGCCGTGCCGGCCCGATGGCTGCTGGGCCGTGCCCAGCCGTGCCTGGGCCGGGCCGTGTCGGACGGGCCCTTTGGCCATCTATAACCGTGACGAAACACGGACGCGCTAGCTCGCCCTTCCCTTCTCCTCGAAGCCGTCAGCCTCGCCAACACCCGCTACGCCCGGTGCACAGCCTCGCCTTCCCGCGGTCGCGCGTCCACGCCGAAAGGGTGTGCCGAGCTCACGCCCTCCGTGCCACCGTAGCCGATGTCGATATCCGGCCCCAAACGGGCGCCGCCCATTCCATCCGTCGCTGACACGTGCCCAGGAGAAGCCGAGTGATCGGCGCTCACTACGCCGCCTCCTTGGCGCCGTCGCTCGCCCTTGCACCGCTGCTCTGAGTCCACCGCCCTCGTGTGCTAGCGCTCCATCGCCCGCAGTTGTGCGTCCACGCCGAAAGCGTGCGCCGTGCCCACGCCCACCGCGTCGCCAGCATATAGTCCAATGTGCTACATATTCAGTGTGGCCATGTATGGTAATTTCTTCGTGTGATATTGCAAGGGGGTGTGTTAAGTTATTGACGAAGCACTGGCAATCATGGGCAGGGAGGAAAAAATTAATTAGGCCTGGGAAAGAAAGGGTCAAATACGTTAATGGAGTCAACGCTATGATTGACTAAACATAATATATGCAGAATCTGCGAAGTCAGTATGACAGTAATATAAGAAAACCGCGTCACCGAAGAAAAAGAGCAATCGCTATGGTGATAATTTATTCGGGTGATTGAAGGTAACGGTGATTTTCTTAAATTATCATGGAATCGGTCTACGGATGCAAAAAAGCGTGAAAGTTGGATTTATTAACTTGGTTCAAAATAAAGAAAAAGGTTTTCTTCATGTCTGATGAGTTTGATTTATCTATTTGGTGATGACGCGTGTTACCTAGTTATGGATTAGATCAAGCTAAATTAACACAGAAGATGGAGGTGAACATGGTCTTCGTGCAGTTTATGATGTTATAGCTCAAAAGGAATTCAATTTCGCTTGGCAAGACGACTGAGACATGGTGGAGTCAAGAGGATGAAATTATAGGGATAACGGAGTCTCTTGTTTACGGTGAGCCTAGTGAAGGCTTGTCCAAGCAGCTCGCTGTGAGCGGCAGAAAGGTACATGAAGGTTTACACAGGAATAAATTCAGTTTGCCGTGGCATATTAGTCAAAAGCGGGGTTTTTTAGAGTTTACGTTGAATATGTGTATAGAGCCGCTTACAGTTTAGGACTTAAAATTATAATAGGTATATAGGAGTAGAGAGTAAGAGTTAGACTTTATCCTAGAATCTCTTTTAAATAAAAGGGTGAACTTGTTATAACTATATATGACGACTTAGCATAGTGAGAGGGAGTGGCTACAGGCGGCCGGCATACGGCCGAGAGTTGTTATAACTTTGATATGCTGTAATATGTTGGATCGGAGAGGAGCGTCCGTAATCAGTGCTCTAGAGATGTAGACTTCTGTTGAACCACGTTTATAAATATCGTGTGCTAGCTTCGATGTCATTATCATGTTTAGATCTCCTATGACATTTCTTCCGTGCTTGGTTCTCGATATGCTTTCAGGAGCAGTTTTATAACGGTTTTAATGCCTGAAAAGCTTTGAAATGGCATTTGTTGCCTTTATGTCGCATCTCTTGTACAGTTTGGTTATCCCTTTTCTTGTATAAAAAAAAATCAAATCCCAGTAAGGTTTCTCCTCCTGTTTATTGAAAAAAACACGTCTTGAAATTACTCAATGACAGTCACTATCAATTAAAAAATAGACCCACAGTATGGTTGGAATAACCATCACAAAAATATCTTCTGTGACGGGAAATTTTGGTCCATCGCTGATCTGGCGTAGTGTGCAGTTGCTCGACGCTGGGCGGCTGTTCTAGGTATCTCTCCCTCTCCTAGCTAGATCCAATTCGACAATGAGTAGTGGATGTTTCTGTTCTTGATGTGTACTTCTGATCTTGATGTGCATGTTTATGTTTTAGATGTGCATGGATGGATGTGTGCATTCGTTGAGTTGTAAACTGGATATTAGTGGATTATAGTATGTTACTCCCTTCGTCCCATAATATAAGGGATTTTAGTTTTTTCGCTTGTAACGTTTGACCACTCGTCTTATTCAAAATTTTTTGAAATTATTATTTATTTTATTTGTGACTTACTTTATTGTCTACAGTACTTTAAGTACAACTTTTTATTTTTTATATTTGAAAAAAAATTTAAATAAGACGAGTGGTCAAACGTTGCAAGCAAGTACGGATTGTTTTTCAAAGTTGCATTTTTCCTTTTTCTTCTTTCCTGTTTTTCTGTCTGCTGGAGAGGAAATAGTGCCAGTGGAGCAACCACCAGCAGTGAGATAGCCAACACTATCACTGTTCTATACATGCCGACATGCGCATTTGCTGGATGAAAAGAAGGGGCAGTGATAGCCGACAGTACGTGTAACTTACGAATAAATACGGTGTAAGTCACCGTACCAGAAGCATGATGCTTTATACAGAACAGAGATGATTTACGTATAGAAGGGCAGTTTTATTTATCATAGGGGTGTAGTACATGTAAACATTACACACAGAAACACACAAGACAGTACCTTGCATGTTCTTAATTACAGGGGAACAAGCGAATGCCCTTGGTCATACATAGTAGCACACATATATAGAGCACACACATTAGCTAATGATCCGCTGGATCTAGCTAGTACATTATTATCGATGAAAGTGCGTATTTCACAGATCGAAGGCTATAGAAACAGAATACCTGCCTGGCATACTGGGGTCGGTAGCAGCAACGCCGGCATAGACATTTGTAACAGTCTGGTCGTCCTTGTAAAAACCGACTTGCCCACCGCGTTCTATCTTTGTTTTAATTTCTGCCCAGTTGGGGTTGATGAAATTAATCACAGAATTAATTAAAGGGCCGCAGAACACATAAACCTGCAACTTCTAAAATCAAAGAAAAAAAAATATTAATTACCTTTGATTTTATATATATATATATATATAGAGCAAGGCAATGAATTTTTTTTAGCACGTACTTCGGGTTTAGTCGTTGTGTTTATGTTAAAACCAATGAGCCATGCACAGTCCTGATCACCTTTGTCGTTCTTGCCAAAATATACCACAGCTGCCTCAACACTGCCGTCGCCTGCCATGGTAAAACTGCCGGTGCCGGCCTTATTGTTGCTGCTGGGCTTAAGAGGGTTGGTATAGTCAATGAGAACGGATCCTGAATATTGTTGCTGTACATCCGTAGTAGTAGTCAGGGGTCCCTTTGTATAATTGTACAAATCACCTTGTACGTAAAAATAGTAATTGCCGGCCTGTAATTTGCCTGCCGCTGCCTTGTTAAGAAGTTCGTCAGACTGCAACGACAGCGCAGCTTGCTTCATGACCTCATCTAAGCGTGCTTTCTGCTCCGAACTGAGCTGCCCAACGACTTCCTCATTCCTCTCACTTTCGATCGATGCCATTTTCTTGTTTCTTCGGTCGCCTACACAGTCCAAAAAATATATAACTTGAAAAATTGAGATATAAATAAGAGTTATAAAAAAAACAGAGAGAAAGTTTATTTCATATATCCCTCGAAAAGATATCCTCTCGTATCTTTCATCTCACCTAAATAGTCATTGAAGAATTTGAGCCTAAAACATTGCTCGAAAACAAAACAACACGTCAACTCTGGAGGCCTACAAATTATCATATTAACTTATGCGTATAGATAGTATAGTTGTATAAAAATACAATTGTATTTATATAAATATAAGCATTGTATATTCAATTCAATATAATAGTAATCGTATCTATTGTATATCAAGTATATATATGAAAAATTAGCAAAGAGTTACATATTAAACGTATATTCAATTCAATTGTACTTGTATCTATTGTATATCAAGTATATATACGAAAAATGAGCAAAGAGTTGCATATCAAACCCAGTTCAACTAGTCCCACAAAATCACGTGGGAAAGTTCCCTATTTCACTTTTTATATAATGTTTGATCATTCGGGTTAATAAAAAAAATCAAACAAGTTTCATTTATTTTGTTGTCATTAGTTTAATTGTTAAAAAATATTAAGTATTCCTATATGAATCCGCCATCCCTGTAGCTATTTAAAAAATAAATACATAACTATTTAAAAAATAAATACATAAGATAAATAAACGTTATATCATAGGTGAATGACAACTTCTGTATTAAAATACGGATATATTATATATAAGTATGAACTGGACCGTTAATTATTCATCTGCTCTGCATCCCTCGTCCCTGTGCAGCTAAAAAGACCGGAGAGTTCAAAAGAACAAACCTGTCAGATGATTTGCTGGGGTGGTTCAACCTCACAACACTAGCTACTGTGGAGTGGCTTGTGACTTGGTGTTCTTGCTGGAAAAAGAGCCCTCACACCAGGGGGTTTTATAGTGTCGGGCACGCTAAGCTCGAGCTCGTGCTTTCAAACTGAAGAGAATATCCAATCCAAGTTGCTGCGTATTGCGATTTCCTAGTATTATTCTCTATCCATTTGGGAAAAAAACAAGGTGCAGTAGTTAATTTGGAGTCAAGTTTATGCGTGCATGTATGCTCGTCATCCCCTTGCGTACGTCGTACGTGCCGTCGTAGAACACGCCAAGTACACGTACGTTGCAGCCTGTGAGGACGCACGCACACACGTGCCCGTGTGCAGACATGGTACATTGTGCCAGAATGACTCTGATACAGGCGCCCATTGTTTTGAGGAGAATTTATTTGCATCAATACTAAGTATCTCGATAAAATCTTAATTGCGAGGCCATCCGGTATATTCTCGGATTCATAGTAGTACGATGTATTATATCATGTATTAGGTTGGTTTATTTAATAATTATTAAGTAACTTTTATTATAGGACACTTCAATTTTATGTAATTTGCTAGTAAAAATCGGAAAAACGTTTTACAACTAAAAGTTGCGAGATGATGCTTTCGACTCAATTGGATAGAAGTTTTTCTTTAAAAAAGATGAGAATGCTCCTAGGGCCAAAAGCTTCTGAGCTGAGACTAGAGTGAATATGGAACATGGTGTATGCTAAGGATGTAGTTGGGATGAGGTAAATTTATAGTTGTATAATTTCAAAATTTTTCCTTTAACGTTATATTTGAAGTATGTGGTCTTAGAAGTGTTCTCATCATTCCTAAGAAATTATCTCTTCAATTGAGCCGAAAGTACCTTCCAGCAAATTACCAATTTTTTTTGTGTTTTTCAACCGTGACATGTTTTTCTGATGTCTACCGCTAATTAAATTACACATCTAAAGTATTGAAAGAACTAAAGTTTCTTGCAATCTGATTGGGCCACGTCATCAATAAATCAAGGACCGTTCGATACATCCTCCGGACATTATCATCCGTAAGATCTCTCTATTTGCAAAATCTCTTCTGGATCCTTCGAGAAAGCTCTTTTTCAAATACATCCTTCCACGTCCCTGGGTAACCAAAAAAAAAAAGGAGAGAATGTTCCCCTCCTTGTCTCTTCACCGCACATGGCCACACCGCCGCCGCCAGCCCACCAACCTCCCCACCGCCACCATGAAGTGGATTACCAGTTTCGACCGCGTCCCAGAATAGGCGCACTGGATCCTGCACCACCTCGCCAATGAGCTCGAGCGCCTTAGCCATGCCTCCTCCCAACTATTGCCGCTGCCTCTAGGCGAGTTTGGTGCTGTAAAATTAGATCCACGATGGCAGATCGGAGATAGCCATCGAAGTCGACCCCCACCTCCAAGCCAAAGGCATCGGCTTCCCCCTCCACATCATGCGTTGCCCTTGCTCTCCTTCTTGGCGACATGCGTGTGACGACGGGCTCGAGGCGTGGTTGGCCATCGCCCTTCAAGATGCGACATGGGCAGCATTGGAGGCTGGAGCCCAGTAAAGCTTGCGTACCAGCTGGAATAGCATGTTAGAATCTGAGGTAATTCGTTGCGAGTCGGTGTTAAAGTACGGTGTGTAAAGATGGCCAAAGCCAGTATGCAAACATTTGGTTAGTTGTCCCATCTTGATATATAGTTTTTGCACGTTTCGTGCTTGATAAATTGCTTGAACAGAAACCAGGGAAGGTTACCCTTTAAGCCAAATAAGATTAAAGCCAATGGCTTTCAATTTAATTAGAAATTTCTGTTTTCTGGATGTAACTAATAGACTTTAACTAGAGATAAATTAAAATTGACCAATACATGTTGCTCAAATTAACTTCTCAGCTCACAATAGATGATGCATTGAAGTGTATATAAAATTTTCAATTAATTCTGAATATTAATTTCATAAATTACAAGCAAGCACACCAAAATATCCCAGCAATATCTTTGGAGGGATTGGGTCGCTAGCATCAATTGATGTTTGCACAAATGATCCTGGGTGTATTTCCCTAACCGTAACATGCCACCAACAGCATGAAAACTTAGGATTACACTTCTTTCGGTAAATGCTAGATTTTGTTGCTGTATCCTACATGCTATACTAATTTAAGGAGTTGAAGCTCAACTATTTTCTTCAACAATTGATTGATGTTCTTCCATAAAAATAAGCTAAGCTACTATGTTCATTTATGATCATGCTGAATTTGTCCATGGAGAGTGAATTACTGTATTCATTTATGATTACAGTAAAAATAGTTTTGTTCATAGACAGGGTTTCAGCAGTTTACATATATGCTTTTCCAAGGGCTAAAATGATGTCTGAATTTATGCTGCTAAATACTAAATATTCAAGTGCACATCACTTGAGGCTGATCAAATGACGAATGAAAATAAGGATGGTTTTACTTACCACTTTAGATCGCTGAGAAAATATATGATTGCAGATTATTAGTTAAAGTTGTAATCAACGTTATCCTTTGACTGATTCCTCATACTTAAGTTGCATCTTATATTATGAAGCGAACTAATTAATATAATACTACTTCCTTTATGCTTCTGTTACTTTCAGAATGTGTTACCGAAGCTGTTTGTATGTTGATTTTCAATTTACAGTGCCATTGGATTTTAGACAAAACTGCTGATTGATATCTGTAAACCTACCAGCTATAGTGTCACCATTTATTTGCCCATCAACGAGATATCAATAGTAGGGCACCGTTGGCCTGAGCCATATATACACATTTTTCAAACGGGTCTTTAAGAGCCACGCAACGCGTGGCTTACGTGGCTAATATATTTGGATGTACTGTAGCAAAATTTACCTTACTACTAATAATCACTTACATAAATACATTTTGGTTTCGGTTGGGAAAACCCCATATGTGCCAGATTTCCAAACCGGCAGCACTAAGCAACACTGATGAGAGAGCTGATAACCATGTTGATTCCACAAGCCAAAAAAAGAAAACGCATCATCAAGTCGATACTTCGAACTGTCGCCGACCTCGGTCCCGGCTCCCAATCCACAAGAACAAATTTTAATTCACAGGTAACACATAAACACACAACACTGTTCAGTCCATAGGTCAAAAATGAACCAAATTTTAATCCACAAGTTTTATGCTCAAATCTTGGATCATACAATCCACAAATTATCGTCAGATCAATAAATAAAATATAATCCACAAATCATCATCAGATCAACACAAGTACAATAACAAAAATCAACCAGAACAGCTATTACATGCGCCAGATCTAAGCGATGCACCTGGGAGAGGGGATGAGCGCTAGCGCTAAGCCTTGCACCGGTTGCCGCTGCCGCCACTCCAGGGAGGGGGAGTAGGCACCACCACCAAGGAGGAGGGGGGGAGGGTGCCGCGTCGGGGTGGTAGGGGAGCAACCGTTGCCGCCATTCCATGGAGGTGGAGGGGGAGCTGCCATCGGGAAAGTTGAGCAGCTGTTATCTTTGCTGCCACGCGGGGAGGAGAGTAGCCGCCGCTGCCGCCACTCCAGGGAGAGGGAGTGTTGCCCCAAGATAATAGGAGCCATGCTGGGGATGGAGGAGCAGCCTCTGCTGCATGTCCCATGCGAGAGAGGAGTGAGGTGGCGAGAGAGGGGAGGAGATGGGCGTAGATTGTGGAGACGAGCGGTAGAGAAGGAACCGAAAAAGGGGAAAGAGGGAAAGGGGTTTGAGTGGATAAGATCGAGGGAAAGAGATAAGAGAATAGACTTAAAAGATTCTGGATGGCTCTCAGCTCGGCTCGATCTACACAAGTGCCGGTTCAATTTGAAAACCGTTACTGATGTCCTACATATCAATGCCGGTTTATTATAAGAATCAGCACCTATAACTATTACTACCGATTTTTATTATGAACCAACTTATATGAGTGGTTATAGGTGTCAAATTTTATTTTTATCTCGTCAAAAGGGCACAGTTCGACACAAAACGTCTGATAAATACTTAATGGTTTTAACTGAACTTGCACCTATAAGACCGTTCCCTATTTGGTTTTTTAAGTAGTAAGTAGAAATTGGTAAGAAAATTATTTTATAAACCATAATAACAAGTTGGTTTCGGTCTATTTGAGCGCGTGTTTAGGGATGTCGTGAGTGTGTGAGCGTGGTATTGCGTGTACATCTGTGTGTGCATGTACGCATGCCAATGTATTCGAAAATGAATAACTAGGAGATGCATATACCTCAATTATTTTTTTTTTCGTTGTCGTTCGGAGCTCGCCGTTGGCTTGACCTATGTTTTTCATTTCCTAGCGATTCCACTAAAGCAAAAAAAGAAAAAAAATCACCTCGTGTTTGATTTTATTCCATCATATAACTTCATTTTACTATTTTATTCTTCTTCTCTGGTTGTCTCCTTCCAGTCTGGTCAATGGTCATTGTACGTATTCCTAAAACTGCTCCCCATTTCCAACGGGTTTCTGGATATCACGATTGACTATTGGAGTTAGAACAGCATATGTTCTATAGGCTCGTACCGTTGCATCCTTTACCAACAAGGAGGCAAGCACTCAAGTCTGGTTGACGAGTCCATGACCTCTGGGCCCGCTGGATTTTTCACATTTTGGTCTTTTTGAAAAAATTATTTCGCAAATAGACGCTTGGAAAAACTTATCCCAGAAATGGTCTTTTTGCGCCAGCCACTCTGGCGCCGTCCCCTGCCGATGTGGCGGGGCGATGCTGAGGTGGCTAGGGGGAGCGCGCCAGAGTGGCTGGCGCCCCCCCCCCCCCGAAATTTTTTATTTTTCTTTTATTTATTTAATATTTATTTCACGCTTAGGGACACACAAGAACTAACCATAGGAAAAATGAACTCAAATAGACGTAATATGTGACCTGTAAAATTTTTCCTCCCCTCTCCTCTCTTTCCGAACTAGTGCAGAGGAGAGAGATGTGCAACTTTTTTATTTTTATTTTAGTTTTTTGATATTTTTTTCACACTTAGGAACTCATAAGAACCAACCATATAAAAAATAAACTCAAACGGACGAAATATGTGGCATGTGGAATTTTCCAAAGCTCTACCGAAAAACTTCTCTCCTCGAAAACACAATTTTGCAAGCAGAATTTGGAGGTTTTAATATCGCCGAACCCGACAAAGTAGGGGAAAATCGGATGTAACTTTTTCTGTAGATGTCCGTGGATATATTATTTGCCTGATTTCGAGTCCGTATGAGAAAGTTACGCCTATTTTAATAAATGACACCCGAATGACTTTTCGGGAGAGCTTTGGAAAATTCTAGAAGTCACATATTTTATCCGTTTAGTTTATTTTTTCTACGGTTGGTTCCTGTATTCTCCGAAGTGTGAAAAAAATATCAAAAAAATAAAATAAAAATAAAAAACTACATCATTTCATGTGGTTAGAGATTAAGTAATTTCATATAGTGGTAGAGTGCATTATGTTTAACATGCTAAAGGAGTTATGGTATAATTTTGATGAAGGTGCAAAGTAGGCTAAGTGGTATACTATTTTCGTATATCTAGCTAAATGGTATATTCCGTTCGAGTTTAATTTTTTTTCTCTAGTAGTTGGTTGTATCGTGATCCTAAGTGCGAAAAAACATCCGAAAAAATAAATCAAAAATAAAAATATTGCAACTCTATATAGAGAAACAGGAATGGAGG